ACCACCACCAAAATCACTATAAACCGCTTAGATTTAGATGCCCCATCTATAAAATCCATGGTGACCTCCTCCCATACTCTGTCTAGAAGAGCTAGAAGTTGTAGTAATTCTCCTAGAGTCATGGCCATATATATGCTCCTCTAGCATACCTCACCTCTAATCACCATCTCCTTCATATCCTTATGCATTCCCTTCCAATACAACTTTGTCGTCAATCTCCTGTACATCTTCTGCAACTCTAAATGACCTCCACAGCACTCCCGTGAAACTCCTACAGAATGTGAGGAATATGAATCGAGGTCCGTGATAACACAAATCTCCCCTGATACAGCAATCTCTCCCCTCTAGGGAATAGCCAAGGTGGCTACTCTTATCTCTTAACAAATCTGCCCTAATCTCGCATAACTCCTCATCCGGCACACTCTCCACCAACAAAGCCCCCCAATCCAACATCAATGGTACCGAAATGGCCAACTCCTGGAGTTCCCCCACGCATCTGAACAAGGCATCAACTGTCTTGTTCTTTAGCCCTGACCTATATTAGATCTTGAAATCATATCCCAACATCTTTGACAGCCACCTCTGATGCTCCTTAGTCGTATACTCATATCCTCTACTCTAACAGATACTTCAAGCTCCTTTGGTCTGTCATGGCGATGAAATATCGGCCCAGCAAGTAAGGCCACCACTTCTGAATAGCTAACACAATGGTCATCATCTTCCTTTCATAAACCGACTTCAGCCTAACTATGGTTGTCAACACTCAGCTGAAGTAAGCTATGGGTCTGTAATTTTACATTAGCACTGCACCCAATCCATACCCTGATGCATCAATCTCCACCACAAAAACTGGCTAAAATCTAATAAGGTCAAGATTGGTACCGTGGTCATGACCTTATTTAGTCTATCAAAGGCTTGGGTAACTGCCTCTCCACACAAAAAACTATCCTTCTTCAGCTACTCTTTGTATCCCCTCACAAACCTACAGTAGTACCAAGTCAACCCTAGGAAACCCCTCGGCTCCAAATTCCTAAGTAGCAGCCATTTCAGCATTGCCTCAAGCTTGGCCTGATCAGCGACCACCTCCTCCTAAGATACCACATGCCCAAAGTACCCTACATTAGGTTGTATAAAATAACACTTCTTCATGTTGGCCCTCAGCTGATGTTCCTATAACAACTCTAATACCACTCTCAAGTACTTCAAATATTCCTCATCCAACTTACTGATACCAAGATGTCATCAAAGAAAATCAATACAAATCTCTTGAGGTATGGTCGAAACACTCTATTCTAATTTGGGCGATCTCCAAATATACCATAAATTCATCATCATTATCGTTGCACACCACTAGCCGCTACAACCACTGGCCACCACTATCGGTCATTGCTGCCACCAGCCAACAAGCAACACAACTACCACCGATTGTCGCTGTTGCTCGTTGTCAATCGGTAGCCACCCAGTGCAGCATGTGCCGACCTGGCACCAACCATTGCCAGTTGCTCCAGCTGCTGCCACCACTGATGTCCAGTACTACAAACCACCACCAGTCATTGAAAACCCTTCCACCGTCTGCTACAGCCCACCAACATCTTCAGCGCCCAACGGCCACCGACCACCACTCTCTTTTAAATTTATACTACAATAATTTTACTTTAAGCCAACAACAAAGGAAATCTCATGAATTCATTTTATACTCATCCAAATAACTCCAAAAAATTACTTTTACACTACATTCCTTTTATCTTGCATTCTTTTTTATCCAACCAAATTGCCCCTATATCAATTCTCAAATACAAATATATTGTTACCCTTTCTAAATATATTAACTTATAACTTTCTCCATTATCCTTAGACTTTGACCGTTTCATTTATTTGTCTACAAATAAGTAAATATTTGTTCTTCTAATTATTGTGTGATGGGGTGCCACGCCCTAGGTGGTTTGCTTTTTTGGCCTTGGTAAGGTTCCAAAATGAGTTAGCGTTGATGGTTTATCCTTGGGAAAGGTAGAAATGGAGTGGTATTCAAGTTTCATACAATGGAGTGGTGAAATGTATGCATGATGGAATTCTGGCCAAATTTAGACAAGCGGAGTTTTTATTTTTAGGGCTTCAAATAGTGGGCATTCCAGGACTTACAAACACTTAGAGAGGAAAGAGAAATGTCTTAAAAGTGATTCAATAGATTTTCACCAAATTCTAAGGGATTTTGACTGGTCAAATGAAGGCTAAAATCCAACTAGGTCATATTCAGCATAATTTTGGCTGATCACTTCAGAAGAGATTTTGGATGAAAATTTGTTTGGAGAATGCTAGGAATAGGTTAGAGTGGTGAGCACATGAGTGTAGAAAGATTCTACAGCAAAAGAAAATTTTTAAAACAAAAAGATAAAATAGGTTTGCTACTCACCAAAGTAGCAAGATTGAGGAGATCACTAAATCTCTTTATGTGAGGGTTAGCCACCAAACCTCCTTTTCTTAGATGGAACTCTAACTTTGTAAACACAGCAACCTTTTCTTTTTCATTTCAACAAACTTAAATAGTTACAAAAAGTCCAATAAAATTGCACACAAATGGGGGTACAAGGAAGGAGAGGGCTGACCACAATAGTGTGGGAGAGAGATTGTCTAACTATAACTACCCCCACCATCTTGCCTTGGCCAACCATCCAAGCATGGTCTCATATTTAAAGTGAATTTATTCATTCAATTAAACATGTGCAATCAAGGAATTAATCATTCCCTCCAATAATTCAAAATTCCAATTTTTAAAAGTCAAATATTCAAAATTTTGAATTTTTCACTTGCACTTTATAGTTTTTACTACAACTCAACTTACAATATTCAACACATACATAAACATAAATTAAAACTCTATTTAATATATTTGCTCCTAGTCCTTGATCCTTGCATCATAGCCTCCTTGCTTTATCATTGTGTCATCAAATTCTGTTATCATCTCATTTAAAGTTCATAAAATTTATCTAGCAAATCTAGTCTTATTCATAGACCAATTCAAACGTTATTCACTTTTCACCACAATTGGGGTATGTTATAGCGCATCATTTTTGCAAGTTCCTAGAAAAAAAAATGACTAACTAGCCAAAGAATGTTCAATTTGGGGTACTCAGTTTTGTTAGTCAAATTAGTTGGTAAAACTGATTGCACGACTCAATAAGCAGCCCATGTTATATTCAATTTGTAGTGATCAATTACAAGAAATCAAGCTAGAAATCAAACCACTCACCTCCTATTAGCTTTTTAAGATATAACAATCCCCTACCTCAAAATTGAGAAGTTTCTTTTTATCCTACATTCTTAGGATGGTGAATGTGGGCTAAGAACATATAACGAGAGCTTCCATTATCTTATTTAAAATCATTTAATGGGAATGCATATCTATAACTATGTTTCCTTCTTCCTCGAACAAGTCTTTATATAGAGAAAGTGAACAAAATCATAAAAATATTCCCAATGACTAATTGAATACTTTGCTAAAGAGAGTTGCCCGAAGCATCGGACCAATGATCACCCATGACTACTGTGTACCACTAGTGCCACAAAGGCTTTTGGTTGAAAATGGAAATGATGTTTCCCACACAAATGACCACTATCATTGCTGTCACTTCAATAAATACAAGGAAAATCTAAAGTTAAACAACTCTAGTTAACACAATATTCAACTTAACATGAGCAAAACTCCCCTTCTCAAGAAAATTTCATGCCGCTTCCATTACTTTTACCAATACTTACACATCATTGAGAAGGAACTTTTGAACTCTTACTAGGTCATTCTTTATGAGATTATAATAAGATTGTGCTAGCTTAGGCATTTACTTGAACTTTGTTTTCTAAATCTTTCTTCCAGGAAAATTTTAGTTTGCCAAGTTACTGTTCATAGTGTTGCTCATTGTAATATCTATTATCTTGCAACTTGCTTTCTTGCTATAGTTTCTAGCATCTTACCTACCATGGGCGGAGGGAGGGGGGCAAGGGGGGGCACGTGCCCCCACCCCCCACCCCCCCACCCCCAAACTAAAAAATAAATCACTTAGAAGGAGGATAGACATCTTATCAACAAATTAATGAACAATGGATGGCATAAGCCCACATATAGAACTTTTTCTCATTCATTTAATCTATTACAGGCTTTTTCAATTTCAAGTCTTCAATCCACCTTCTACCCAGACCATGCAATGCTTCAACTGTAGAGAGAGAAAGACAAATGGGGAAAAATATTGAAAGAGAGGGATGAATGACTTTCCATTGTGTACGGAATGATGAAAAGAGATTTTGACGTAGAGTTGCAAGGGAGGACTTAGCCCACATGCAAAACGAGGAAACCTACTCTAATTTTTGTAATTCTTCCTTTTAAAGTTATTATTAATTCAAAGAAGCCACCAACATCTTTTTTTCCGGACACATGAAAAACACCAATGGTTCGTTTTCCCTTTCACTTCTCTCTCGCCCCCAAAACGAATACCGCATGTTGCAGATGCTTATGTCTTCTAAGCTTTAAGGGTCATGTTATTTGTATTCCTAATTTTGATCTTACAGCTCCTCTTCCCGGTAATGAAACTGTAAATGGAACTATTTTAATGTATTCTAACCTTCCAAATGACACGGCAAACGGAACTATTTTAATTCAGGCCCCCCTAACTAAAATTTTTTGCTCCACCACTAAACTATGTGTATGTGCGGGTTTTTTATCATTGACCTTGAAAAGGATTGTAGAAGTTCTTCATAGGCCTTGAAGAGGAAAAGTTGAGTGTACATCATTGAGCCAAAAGGGAGGCATGTGACAAGAAGAGGATTGGCGAAAAAGGTTTTCTGGAACAAGGTCGGTACACTAAACCCAAACAGACCGATAAAACTAAAACGATGTGAAATCTTAGCTTGATTGTTTGACAACATAAAAGAAGGATTCAGTGAAAGAAACTAGCGTGCTCAAGGAAATTGTTGGTGAGAAAAAAGGAACGTAAGGGTAAATTAGGGCATACTATTCGGTGACGTCCTCGAGAACCATGTTGACATAGACATCGAAACCTCTTAGGGTTCCCACGAGCTCCTTGTCTCCCTTCATAATAACCCAGATCTTTGAACCAATGCACCGATCGATCAATTCTGCTTTCAAAATATGAAACAACTGAGAAGAGGAAAGATGAGCCAAAATAAATATAGCAAACAAAAATGACAACCTGAAGGAAGGAGCTGAGAAGGGTTATGAGACATCTCGTCGCCTGTTTCCGCGCCGTAGTAAAGGCTGCACGTCCTGGCGACGGGAGTCGGCGGTGCTGATAGGTTCCGCTTTGTAAATTTGACTCTTTTTTTTTCAAGATTTTTTCTCTATTGCGTCTAAGGTGCTAAAATTATCCCCGTTCACCATGATATTTAGAAATTCCCTTTCACTTGGTGATTCATTCACATTCACTACGGTAATTTTCATTAGTTAAATTTGAGTTTATATGCATTATAATATTCAAATTTTAAAAAATATATTGACTATTTTATTTTTTAGAAAATATTTTTTTTCTTTAAATGCCTCTTCATCAAGCTCACTTCAGTGCGATTTTTTTTTTTTAGTTAAAACTCGCAGAACGGCCTACGCGTTAAATAAATAAAGCGATTACAAAGTCCTTAAGGGAGACTATCAGCTCTCTAATGTTTGAACGAGCTACAAAATAAATAAAAAAAAAAAAAACCTACGAGCCAATAGTCCCCACTTAGCAAAAAAACAAAATGTTCTAGTAACATGCAAGTGATGTTATAGACAAGCATCCAAAAAAGAAAGATACTGATAGGAGCATGAAGCACAATCTTTCTGCAAAAAAATTTGACCACAGCCATTAGCAATTCCAACTCAGAATCAAGAAGGCTGCAAAACAAAAAATAAAAGCACAAAATAACATAGAAATATAAATGGGAAATGACTAAATTAAAAGCAGAATAACAAGGAGAGATATTACCAATATTGAGCTTCCGAGCAAAAACCACCACAATACATAAGAAACATAAGTAGGAACAAAAAGTAGATGGGCAATCCATGCATAAAAATAAAAGAACTCCAAACCATTTCACCACATAAAAACCAAACAAGGGTACAGATTGATAGATCTCATAATAGATTGAAACCAACATTCATCACTTAGGTAATCTAAATGTCACTCAATCCTACCTCCAAACCCATTCAACCACACCCAATCGATCAACCTGAATTGTGACAAACTAGGTTTATCGAGAGAGAGAAAAAAGAGCCTTCCACACACTAACAGAAAAACTCCAGGACAGAGAAGCAAGACATCACAAGAGAGAAGTTGAAGGGCACATAATCCACAAGCCAAACCTGCAAAAGGGGCCCAGGCCAACACCAACAACCAACCCGCAATATGGCCCAAAACCAACAACCATATGCAAAATACTCAGATACCAGGAAAGGCCCAGAAACCACACCAGACAACCAAAAGTAACACAGCAACCCCACAACAGGTGAAACCCAAAATAGAACAAATATTGTCCCAGTCCCCAACTTTACTCCCATAGAAACCTGTAATCATAAAATACAACCAATACCAGGTCTTACAGCAGCAGCTAAAGGTAGGAGAGCAACAAATAGGAAAACCATCAACAAATGAACTGGTGCAATTATACTCAAGCCCATAGCCATAAATTCTCAGCTAAAATGTATAAAACAATAGAAAAACACCAACATCAATTCAAATACACCAAAACAAAATAAGGAAAGAAATAAAGTACAACCTAGCATAATAAGGAAAGCAGCAAGCATCAACCACAAAAGGCTCCAGAGAAGCCCCCCCCGGAAGGCATAGGGGCAAGGCCAACTCAAAAAAACTATTTAGAGAAGTGATAATTTTTTATAATAGCTATAGGCTTAATAAATATAATTTAATTTTTATACAGTTTGTTAGGGTTAATAATCATCTGTAGAATATTCTTCATTGATAACTTTCTTGTTAGAAGAAATAATTGAATCATTGATATTGTTGTTTAGAATATTTGTTCGAATAATGGGTGATAAATATCCAATTGATCAAGACTAGGTAATTGCTAGAACTATAGAAGTTGCATTACCTAGCACACATCATAGACTGTGCCAATGACACATCTCTAACAAGGCTCCATCTAAAGCTTGGTGCTTCAATAGCAATAATAAAGTTAGATAACTCTTTTATAGATATTTGAGCAAGTGTGACTCTAACAAGGAATTTGAGAAAATATGGGCTGAAATAATCATAAAAAGGAGCCTCTATAGCAATGGTTGGTTGGATGAGCTTTATAGAATAAGAAATAAGTGGTCAATAATATTCAATAAGGACTATTTTAGCATGGATATTCTATTAACATAGTATAGTGAGTCTACTAATAATATATGTCATGATATTTTAAAGCCAACAAGTTTAATAACTTATTATTTTCTTGACTAGAAAAGGTGATGATGATATGACACCTGAATGATTAGGATAAATATTATAAATGATACTAATTCACAATAGTTCCTGTAATAAAAAAGCTGCATAATATTAAAACAAGCTACTTAATTTTACACAAGAAAGCTTTATTTATTTTTTTAAGAAGAGTTTTTATATGGAGTGGGTGAAAAGGTATAGAGTTTACCACTAGTGATTCTTCAAAGTTTTTTTCTTTGGAGCACGGAGAATAAGGATCATTCTGTTGAGTCTAGTAATTAGGTTGTTAAGTCTAAGTTAATGTCCCAAGGCTACCAAGAGGGGGTGAATTGGTAGTTTTAAAAAAAATTAATCCCTCAGTTCAGTTGGATAAGGATCTTAAGAGAAAATTTGTTGATCAAAAGAAATATAGAGGGATTATTGGATCTTTACTTTACTTGACTGCTAGCCAACCAGATATTATGTTCAGTGTTTGCTTATGTGCTAGATTTCAATCAGATCCAAAAGAATCACATTTTACAGCAGTGAAAAGGATATTAAGATATTTAATAGGAACTCAAAACTTAGGAATTTGGTATCCTAACTTTAGCTCTTCATTTGAAATTATTAGTTATTTAGATTCTGACTTTGCAGGCTGTAGAGTGGATAGGAAAAGCACTTATGGAACATGTCAATTTAAATTGGGAAATTCCATATAAGATTTCTTGGTCCAGTAAAGAGAAATAAAATTCAGTTAGCCTATCCATACTTGCACCTGAAGCAATAAATACATTAATCATGTAGGAAGTTGTGTGGCCACACAGTAACTTGTCTAAAACAACATTGATTGATTTATAGATTAACATATAGGCACCTATGTCCCAATTTATTTGTGACAAATATATGCTTTCTTGCAATTTCCCAAAATTCACATTCCATATTCCTATCCTAGAACCAAACACATTGCATAATGTATCATTTCCATAAGGGATCATGTAGTCCAAGGGAGAAATGAACTTACTCGACGTTTCAACTGAAAACAACTTGCAGACATTTTTAACAAAACCTTTAGCCTTATGATACTTCAGTACATTAAGAACAAGGCTTGGTGTATTATTGAATGCTTAAATAAAATGTTTTTGCAATATTGATATTATGTTTTTTAGTTTTATTTTTTTTAATTTTGGTTTTGATTTTTTGTGATTTTTTGGTGTTTTTGAATGAGTTTATTTTAGCATCAGGTGGTTTGTCTTTGTTTTCTATGTTTTTGAATGTTTGTTGTCTTTGTTTTAACTTAAGTGTATTTTCTTTTTGTATTGATATTATGAAAGAATCCTGTAATCCTTTTTAATAAATATTATATATAATGTAGTTGATTTTGATTTTGGATTGTTTTTGAAATGTGTTTAGTTCTTATGAATTATTATTAGTCTTTTAATCCTAATTGTCTTAAATTAGATTGTGATTTAAGATTAAATTACTTAGAAATCTAGTCTTTCTAAATTTAAAAATTTTTATAACTTGTCATAATTAGAATTTTTAATCTCATGTCATCATTTTTAGACTACATAAAATTAATATTTTATTGCAATTTAGTGTTTTCTTATTTTATATTTCTTTGCTCAAGTGATTTTATGCAACTCTAGAAAATTTGAAATTTTAGATTATTGATCTTGGAAATAATTGGTTCAATTACTCTTGAAAGTTATACAAAGAGTACAAAAATCAAAAGGAATGCGCAAGGTTCGCAAATATGAAAAAGAGGCACAAAATTAGCCCAATGTCAAAAGATGCACAAAAATATGCCAAAAATTTTGAAAAAGATGCGCAAAGCGCCACATGTGGTAATCTCTCTCTTTCCAATTTTTTCAATCTGCTTAATTCAAATTGTTCTTATGTTCATTTAATTCTATTGAACTTTGAAATATAGAATTTTTATATCATCTCTCTTGTAATGATTTTCTATATTTAAATGTCAAAATGAATCATGTTTTTTGATAAATTCTTCTTACTTACAATGTTATATCACTTCTTAAATTCTATGAATTTCGATGATTTTGCCTAATGTAATTAGTTTTAGATTGCATACCTTATGTCAATCACAATTTTGATTAAATTTTCAAATAAATTCATATAATTACTTACTTCTTGTATATTTCTTCTTCAATTTTTATTGTTGTCAAAAAGGGGGGAGAATTATTTGTGTTTGTATGTTTTGTTTATTTTGTTTGTTTGTTTGCATTTTGCATTTTGGTGTTTGATTTGTGTAATGACTTTGTGTCTATGGCTTGTGTTATTTTGTTAAAAATTTTTGAAAAATAAAAATAATTGTTTCTTTGCTTCAAAATGCCTTTCTTATTTTCAGTAATTCATCAATTCAGGGGGATTTAGGAGATTTTGTTTAAATGAAATCATACAAACAATATTATTTTGTCATCATCAAAAAGGGGGAGATTGTTAAGATAGTTGCTATTTTTGCATGCTTTACATTTTTGCAACTTGTATAGTTTTGATGATTCAAAACATTATTGTTACAAGATGTGTTTATCTCCTAACAATTTTAGGATTTATATTTGCTCTTTTGGTGTACTAACATTTCAGGAAAAATCAAACTCCAGACTACGAAGACTTCAAATCAATTTCAACATGAGATACTTTTGTGAATTTGAAGCGTGTACTTTTCTTGAATTAAATTTTAAAAGGGAGTGATTGTAATTGAGTGAATAAAAATATACACACACATATAAGGAGATCATATAAATTTATACTGATCGTACGGGACGATATCAGATCGTACGGGATGTATCAGCACATGTTATCTCCATATTAGGCACAAGACAGAATAGCAACCTGGCTTGAAAAATTTTCTAAGTTCTATTTGTCCGGAGACGAAATTAAATATCGTCCAGGACGACTTTGGTCTCTGTAAATTTTCATCCAGCGAAATTAATTATCG